GGGACTAGGGAGGAACTACACGAGGCAGTAAAATTGTTCAGGGATGACTTAAAATGAAGATTTATGGGTTCAAGTTCAAATCAGAAATTGATGCTTCAACCTTATCATTACGATCCAAAGATTCCTTTATACACAAAACAGTTCCTACATCTTACGACACAAATATGACCTTTGATCAAGAGCATTTGATTTAAAGTCATACCAACATTTGCAAACATAATATGCACCCCATCCCCCAGCATCCTATGACAATTACACTTGCTGTAAGAAACCCAACAACGAGAGGCAACCGTGCCATCTTACAAAAAAAATAATTAATAAATGAAAAATGGGAAACTTCATGATCACCAATCATTATCCACAAAATGAAGATCTATTAATTGGTGCTTCATGATTGAGCAGAAAAAATAAGCATGTGAAGCTGGCGATAAAACAACGAAAAAAATAGCCAAGAGCAACAGAATCATCAAAAGCCCTGCCTCAATTTCGTATAGGAATTTCCAGGACGACAATGAAGTGTAGGAATGTCGCATTCTCTCACTTCTGTATGCTTTAACCAAAACTGTCCTAGACCTCAGTCCTCGCTAACTTTTTCAGAAAATTCTTGCTAGCTTCCCCAAATCGTTTTCTTGATAATTCAAAGTTGCTCCTTAAATTCCTCGCAAGAGATCTAGCAAAAAAGAAAGAGAGAAGAAAAGAGCAATAACCTCTTCTTTTTCTATATTTGACCAACAGATTTTGTTGTTGGGTTCTAAACAATTGTCAATCTCTCAGAAGAGAACATAAACACTAATCAAATCCAACAGAATAAGCATCATAAAGCAAGGGTATCTGACTGCAGCATTGTCGGTAGGCTCCAGCCATAAGTAGGTGCATATAATTGTGCATCAATTTGCTATGCTCTCCTGCAGATACCACCACATTATTTATTCATTCAGTAGTCATCTTATTCAATAAGCAGAAAAATTTATTACTGTTAGACATTTTTATCGATTCATATGGGCATATTATTACACGTTCATGACAATGTTGTATACAATTCTTATCAAGGCATCTATCCAAGTAAATCACAAGACAACAAGAACCATGCTTAATCAATATCATGGGCCCACGGATATTTACAAATTAAAATACCTATCCAAAAGAAACACTCATTTTCAAGAAGAAGCACAACACAGTAGGCAATACCAAAATCAAGACAAAACAACGAAAAATCGCAAGTTCATTTCATATGTAATTTCATCTTTTTCTTTCTTTACATTAATGTTTCACATAATCAATATTTGTTTACAATAATCTAGTTCTCTTCTTGGAGAAGTAGGCATCGAACTAAAACTCACCGAAATTTCTTGCGTAACTTAATCGGGAAGCGGGAGGGAGGTGACGGGGAAAATTCAACTGGTAGCTGTGGAGATTCTAAATCTCCACATAGCATCCCCACCACCTCTTTCATTGAAGGCCTGCATACAGGTGACTTCTGCAGGCAGAGTAGTGCCACAGTGATGCATAGCAGGGCTTGCTCTTCGTTTAAAGATTGAATATTCCGATCAACTAAATCAAGAAGCTTCCCTGTACAGGCAAGGTGACGTGCCCAATATATAAGATTGGCCCGTTGGAACTCTGACATGGGTGACCCTGTCACCTGAAGTGGCCTACGTCCAGCAATAAGAACTAACAACAAAACTCCATAACTATAAACATCACATTTCTCAGATATATCAACCCCACCACCATACTCTGGTGCAACATAGCACACAGTTCCTCTCATACTTGGTGTGCTGCTAATACCACCACTCTTAGGTATCTCCCCACTGATGGAATCATAACTATTTCTCCACACTCTCCAAAGCTCGCCACTGAATCCATCCAACCACCAATCCACACTACCTCTACTCCTGCTCCTGCTCCTGCTCCTATATTTTTTCTTTCTATCAGCATACATTTGATTGTCTCTTGGCTCCCAATTCCCACTATAACAATCATCACTCATTGAACCCTGCAAATGTTTTTTCTTTTTTTTATTCTTCTTCTCGAGCTCCTCACAAAACTCTTCCTTCCACCACTCCCTTGCAGGCCTCCTCTTCTTATCCTTCTTCAAATTCTTGTTGTCATCTAAAGAGACCCACCAATCCAGTTGCTTTTCCTTCTTCTGTTTTTTGTCCAATTTCCCAACCACTCCTGCGCTTGATGACACTCCAACCCACTCGCTCTTTGGTCTCTCCTTCTTTATTTCTTTCCCAATCCATTCCATTACATAATCCTTAACCCTTCCTGACTTCCCTTCTCCTCCATTGTCTTGCTTCCACCACCAATTTTTCCCAGTAAAATTCTTCTTTTTCCACATGTTCCTTTCTCCCTCACTCTCAATACTAACCTTATCAAATTTCTCCTCCGATACACTCGCCGTCTCCAAACCCTCGGATGGTGATGCCATTGCAACCACTGTTGTCGGCGACATCACAGGAGCCGTCTCTGCCTTAGGTGACAATTCCACCCCGATTATTACCTCTGGTGAGGCCTCAACCCGCAGAAAAGCACCCTCCTCTGACCTTTCCTCGCACACTTGATGTTTAGCATTATTGAACTCCTCAAGCCCACTGGCTGTGATAACACTCTCTGTCTCCTCCAATACAGATCCAATATCCTCCACCCCATTACCCAAATTATCCTCCTCCTTCACCTCGCCTTCAATATTCTCTTCCAACTTCAACCTAGCCAACCCAAAATCAGCAATTTTCGCATTAAAACTCCCATCCAACAAAATGTTACTCGGCTTAACATCACCATGAATAATTGGAGGATCACAATAGTGATGTAAATACTCAAGCCCCTTGGCTATATGCAAAGCGATTAAAAACCTCTTGTCCCAGTTTTTTAACTCTCCACTTTTTCGTTGAAAAATAAAATCTTGCAAACTGCCGTTCTCCATTAGCTCATAAACCAAAAGCATTCGACGTTTTCTGGGATTCGACGAAAACCCAATCACGGAAACAACGTATTGAGAATTAATTTTAGAGGATAAAAACAATTCATTTTGGAACTCACGCACACCTTGGAGTGACCCAGAGTCCATGAGCTTGATCGCAACGTGGAAAGGCATGTTCTTGGAGATTGGGGTATGCCTAATAGTGCCGCGGTATACGGAGCCGAACCCACCTTGACCGAGGAGGAGGAAGGGGGAGAAGTTGTTTGTGGCATGGCGGAGAAGGGAGTAGGAGAGTTTGATTGGAATTTTCTCGGAATCAGTGTCACAGGAAGGAGCAGTGCGTTTCTTGGTGAACTTACGAAGGCAGAGAGCGAGGAGAATGAGGAGGGAAAAAGTCGCCGTCAGCCCGCAGGCCAGTAACAGAACAAGGTGGCGGAAGTGACTGTGGTGTTGGTGGCGGAGTGGAGGTGGTGGAAATTGACGGGATGGCATTATGGTAATCTCAACTGGGTTTACTTTTTGGCTGGGGTTGTTATTGACAAGAGCTGAGGATCTATGAATATTTAGCAACCATTACTCCAAGTCAATACTCAATAGCAAGAATTAAAGATTAATCTCAAGAAAAAAAATTAATGACAGAGGAATTGGCGAAGTGGACAATGAACTATATAGCTTGTGCTTAGTGGGAAATAAAACGCGTCTTGAGATGCAATAATTCATACTCCGATTGATAGTCGAGTTGACATTGACATAAGAGAGAAAGTAGGTACGTTTTGGTGGAGCTACGACGAAATAAAAATAAATATAAAATTTGATGTGTAACGTTTAAATTATTATGTATGAGATATTTTAAAATAATATGATTCTTGAAATTTGTAAGCATATGCCACCAAATCTTGAATTTGGAGCATTTATCTACTCTTGTATTATGTAAAAATAACCTTCATTTATATATTTAGCTCCTATTCGATAAAGATTAAAATCAAATTTATAGTATATTCGATAAAAATTAATAAATGTATAATTTAAAAATTATGGATCTCATAAACTTTCACTTAGTTTTTATCAAACCGGGGCCTAATATCTTTTGTATTTTCATAATTTTTTAATCATCTCAAAATATTAATACCTAAAATAAAAGCAACAGTCAAAGCAAATACTCTTGACAAACAAGCTGTAGAAAAAAGATGAAAAGAAAAGGAAAAGGCGACTTGACTGAATCAGATGCCTTGTAATTAAGCCGTTAAACCTTTTCAACGAATCCAGGCTTTTCCTTTCTTCTGTGCTTTTTATTTTTTTATTTATGAGTGATTGATGCCCAAAGGCCATAAACCATTCCAAGGGTAAAGAAAGTTGTCTTATTAGCAAAAGTCATAGGCAAATTGGCCCAAGTGGGCACCAATGTCCAAAATTTCCTTATACGTTCTTTCCCCACGTTTGGATTGATGTCCCACATTTTTGTTGCTACAAATTAAAGTATACATAGCTATCAACTCATATATGATGGGGCAAAACATAATTTATCGTGCATTTGTTGAAAAATAAATATGATTTGACGAGTCGTCACATTCATTCACATAAGTTTCTAGTAGGAGGAAAGCTGCCCTATCTAGACTGTAAACAAGTAATTAGTTTAGTTTGTTTTCATTTTTCCTTACCTTGAAAAAAAAAAAAAAATCAAATCAACATATCCAGACTCGAGATGCCAGGTGCTTGATTTAATATTTACTTTTAACAATTCATTTATAAAGAAAAATTAAAATTAAAATCATGATCATGCTGATATGTTTTGGACTTTAACGCACTAAATATGCTTTGCAGCCTATCAACATGTAATGCCTCCCCACTTCACCCATTATTGAGAATTGAGGCTAACATAGATTTTGATCCCAGAATACAATATTGCTAGTTTTGAATGATAATTATGTATTTGACAAGTACTATTATGACAAGAAAAATTAACATAATTTCAAATCTTTTTTATATTATACTACTGAGACATATTTCGTATGTGTACTTGACTAAGATGAGACGTGTTAAAACAATACAAAATAAGTATCTGTATACTCAGAGCCTATATGGGTCAACCTCTTTCTACTCTAGATTTGAACCATCAATATTTTGAAGCCCAACAAATATTTGTTTGGATCGAGCTTGGGCTTCATCAACCAATTTAGTGCCCAATATGTTACTTTTTATATAATTTCTAAAATAAAATTTAAGGAAAAGGATTTATAATCATGTTATGGAATTGTACTTTTTTCAGTTCACTGGTATATTGAAAGAAAAAAGTTATGTTCCAAGGACCCAAAACAGAGTTAATTAATTGGGCTAAACTGGAAGATCCAATAGAGGAAAATGAAATTGACACAAATAGCTCTAAGTGGTAAGACTTTTCTTTTCTTTTTTTCCCCTTAACTTCAAATGGTATTTCGATCTAAAACATTGTTGCTATACTTAAATTAGCGGCATTATTTATATAACCATGGTCTATAATTTATCTTCAGGGTTTGGTGTCCTAAGAAGATAAGAAATACTCTCAATGCAGGTCGAGAAAAAAAAAAAAAAAAAAAAAAAAGGATCATTGCTCAAAGATATAAAATTTCAATCTAGGTGGAGAAAATAAAATTTATAAAATCTAAAATGATATTATTGCGATGTAGCAAGTATTCTAACAATCACTATACATCATGAGGAAATTACAGAATCCCAGGTATTTGGAGATCCCAGTGCAAGAGTCAGGTTCCAAAGTTGTTTATGCAAATCTCAGGTTTCAATTTAAAAATTAAATATTTAAATATTATATTAAAACACAATAGATGCCGATTTCAACTCCCATATAGCAAACCCTAGATCTCTCTCCCTTCTACCTCCCTCTCTCTATTCCATCTTTATCCCTCTCCCTACCCACACCCTCTCTATTCTAGCCGGTTGATCGGCGCCTTGCAGTGGCGCCATCGGGGGAGGTGGAGCGGCGCGTTGTAATGCTGTCCTAGTTTTGTGATTGCAATGGTAATGGAGGTGTGCGATTTTGTGAGGGGAACTAAGATCTCGACGCGGTGCTGTACGCGATGGCTGTAGCGGCATAGTGATGGCACAGATCGAGGCTGGAGTGATTTTATGTTTTTGGTGGTTTTAGGATTATTGTTGTGGCCACGGCGATGACGAAGGTCATTGGCGCAGGTGGTGGAGGTGGTCGATTTGTGCTGATTTGTGTGAGTTCTGTGTGTATGGATCTGATAGTGGTAGTTGTCGTATTTTTGTTGGCAATGTGTTGGATCTAGTGGTGGCGACATTGTTGGTGGTGGTGGTGGTGACCATTAGGTTGCTCTGTGACCAATCATTGGTGGTGGATTGGGTTCGACAATGGAGTATTTGGTGATAGATGTCAAATCTATCACCAAGGCTGACTATGAGTTATTTGAAAAAATGCAACAAAATTAGATGCTTATGTAAAATATAATGCGATGGACCCAAAATATTTACTTCGTACTTTATTAATATGAGTTATAATATTCAACATGTCGTGTGACTCTCATTCCGAAATCATTAGGCTCTTTCAACTAAAAAGAATCAATTTTCACCTGTAGGAAAGTTACGAAAAAATATATGAGTTGATAGCTCAGTGAGTGGAGAAGTTCGAAAATAATTACACTTTTTCATTTTTACATTTTTATCGAAAATCGAGTTCATATCATTTAATATTTCACAAGATAACATTATGTAAATATAACCAAAAGTGAAATATTCACATAAGTTCATAAAATATCATCTTAAAATCATGATATAATATCAGTTGATAACCATACTATAATCTCATCACATCAAACGTGCTGAAAAATTCACAAAAAATGTACCCTCTGACTGAAATATATAATTCGCCCATCGGGCTAAGAACTTTCGACACGGGCCTTTAGCCCCCTCCGTGAATGAAAGTCGGTCTCAAAGACATCTCTAATCAATTCTAGAATACGGTCAAAACCCCCCTGTGAACTATATGTACACGATCAAGATCAATGTCAGATCAATACCCTTCGTGTAGGATAGAACAAGGTCAAGGCTCCTCTGTGAACTAGAAGAATATATATAATCATGGGTACTTTTCTGACCGATATTAATATTGCATGTCTCACATACCAAGCAAATCTCAATATCACATGTCTTACATAGCAAGTCACAAATATGCCATAAATAATCTTTGATATTCCACATGTATCATAATAAAAGATATTTTCATAATATCCATATAATTCGAACACATTATTGCACATACTTGGACAATATACTTAATTTGTAAATATTTTAAAAATATTTATATTTTTCCACTCACAGTACAATGTTCGCAAAATCAGCTCGATTGGTAAACTGTTCTGACATCAGTATCGTCGCCCGAAATATAATATAATTTTTAAATAAACAATTAATTATTATAATAATTTCAATAATTAAATAGGCGATACCCAAACTTAATAATTTCACGTTTAAGCGATTTCTAAAGTCTCTATAATCATTAAAACTAATTTTTCTTTCATTTTACTCAATTCCATAGTGTATTATACATAACCCCTTCAATAAAATTGAATTTAATCTAACAATTTAACAGCTATAAAATCAAACATAACTTAACAATAAGTAACTCTTTACGTACCTTTCAAAATTAAGGAATTCAAGCCTAATAATGTAGACAACTTAATTCCTAAATTTTATATATTTTTTTCTTCTTCTTCCCTTTTTTTTTCCCTTTCTCTTTTCTTTCTTCTCTTTCTCTTTTTATCTTTCTTTCTCTCCATTTTCGTTCTCTGCTTCTCTCCAAGTAAATGAAATGGATTTGTTTTTTGTTAGTTAATGGATTAAGTTTGGTGGATATATATATTTTATATATATCCACCACCTGCCCATTTATTATATCTTTTTTTTTCCATAGCTTGACATTTTTTATCCATATTATATTTTTTTTGACTTGTTTTAAATTAGGTATTACAAAACTCACCTCCTTAAAAGAATTTCGTCCTCGAAATTTAATTGACTAAGTACGAAAAAGTTGTGGATATTAAGAGCACATCTACTCTTCACTTTCCTATATCGCTTCGTCCATAACATGACTCCACATAAGATTTTAACCAAAGAAATAATCTTACTTCACAATACTTCTTTCTTTCTGTCCAATATCTGAACTGGTTCTTCTTCATCAGTAAGATTTTCTTTCAATTCTACTGATAATCTTATAGTATAAGTTAAATCTGATATCTATTTAATAAGCCTCAAACATATGGAATACATGTTGAATCGATACCTCAAATATCATCTTAATGATCAATATGTGATCTTTTTAGCTTTTCATTTTATCTCCTAACGATAATATATACACAACTTCAAGTTCGGCTCCTTTTCAACTACAAATATACCTAAACCTCAATTATCATCACCTGTGTCTAGTTTTTATATGTCAATTCCATGAAAATAAATAATTGTCCAAGTCTCTTTCAATTAACCAATCATAATTGATAACCTTTCTTTTAAACTTATCTTCACAACGTCCGACATTCTATCAAAAGAAGATGCACAATGTAATTCAATTATATAACTTCTTACAACTAACTAAAGATAAATACTCCAATTCCACCGTGTAATTAACAATATTGTCTATATATAATTTTATAAGTCTATCCTATTAA